AGGCATATTATCTTTCCCAAGGGAAAATGCACTGCCTGTTCTATTTCATTTTAAAAAAGAATAATTTGTTCTATTGTTTCTTTATTAACAAATGCAGAAACTATGTAATAGCAATGAACTTCTCTTTTTTTCTGTTTCATTATAAGAACTGAGGATTAGTTCTGCTCTTTTAATAATTCAGAAGTGGATCTGTAAGTTTTAGTGTAAAATGCAGTTTCAGGATTGTTTGATTTGTTTGATACTTTGTTGTTGACTTAGAGATCTCTAATAATAGTGTCTTCCAGTGGAGATGCTGGCACAACTTTTAGTCTAACAATTCTTTAGTGGTCTCTGGAGAAAAAAAACCCACTTTTTTTTTCTATAGCACAACTCCTAGTAAAAGGAGAAATATTTATATACTTAAAATTCTAGCTAATCAAGAAAAAACAGTGATAGCCACAAAACCTGATCCTCTTTTTGTGTCCTCGTGGGGTTACTCAAGCTCCAAAAGGCCACAGAACATGGCTTGACAGCAGAGCAATTTATACAGCAAAGTGTCTTAAGTGATGTTCCCCAGAATCTAATTGCAAAATAAATGGTAATATGCTTATTCTGTACTTGTTTAGCTGCCAGACAAGACAGTCATTCCTTCTCAGAATATTAAGTGAGCTCTGCATTGCCAGGCACAGCAGGCTGACAGTATTCTATGGAAGGCTAAGTTTCTGAATTTCATTAACTGGATCTGATTTTATTCATTTATTTTGGGTTCTTTTCCCTAGTGCAATAGTAATAACCTAAATAGTATCCTAATATTTCAAGATTTTGATATATATTGTGAGAATCCCAAAAAAAGTACTGTAGTTACTGTAGTAAGAATCAATCCAAAGACCAAGAAGTAGGATAGGAATAGGAATTTCAACTCTAATGAAAAATGAGTATGGCAGAGCTTTGCTAATTACCTGTATGCAGACATTCCATATTAAAGGAAAGAAATGGAAAGCTCACGCTTAGCTCATTGGTATAATGGATATTTTACAGAATGTTAAGTTAACATAAATTTTAATACTTTGAATAGTAATGATTAATGTAAATATCCTAATTTAAATTTCTAATTGTATACACTACTATCATGTAACTAGTATGAATAGCAAAAGATAAGTAAAAAGCTTTTGCTCCTTAAGAAAATATTCTTTCCATGGAAGATAATTTAGGAGTCTGATTCGCATTCATTATGTTGTCAGACTAAATGGCACTAAAATGTTTAAATCAGTTACAGGAAAGATTTGATAAAGTTTGTTTTAATCTCTAGGCATTCAGAAGCTAAATATTTAAGCAGCCACTAGACCTGATGCTTGAATTTTTAACTACCATTAAACTTCAATAGACAAAATTGTAAGATGCCGTCATAAACTTGAGCTTGTGACACATCCTGAACTCAACTCCACTGTATTCTTCCTATACAAACTGTAAATTATCAACATGGAATTGAAGTATTTAGTTACTGTTTAAGAAAAAATGTTATATAAAAAAAAAGGCTTCATGTAGTTGTAACGAATTTTTTTTAATAGAGAAAATAACTATAAAGTACAAAATAATATGCTTGCTATGATTATGAAATAGTAATCCAAGCCACTCTACAGAATCAGCACTGCAGTGTATCTGTCTCTGTTATTAGTTTATACTATTTTTATTTCTCCCCTCGGGAGCAGGATGATAAAAAAGGGTTCTTGTCTCAGATGAGCTAAAATTGAAATCTAAGCTAATAAAACCCCAGAAATTCACCATTCAAGAAAAGCGTAAAAAGAAAGTTCATAAAATAATATGGAACAATAAAATAATGGATATGATTTAATCTGTTAAAAATGTCTGTTATATAAGGTAACTGTCAAGGACACTAATTGAATTCCCAGATGAGTGGAATGGGGGACAGGACTAATTGTTGTGCTGGATTAGAGAAGTCTGTTGTACCTAGAGAAGGGTGGGGGTGATGTGTGAGTTGGGTGGCTCAGAGTCACTTCCATGATCCAACTGCAGCTGATTTTTCATCTCTGCTGGTAGCATTTACCTCTCTTGTAGTAGCTCCTTTCTTGAAGGTGATCTGAGAGAATGAAAGTTTATTACTTGTAAGAGACAAACTGTTAAAAATCAGTATGAGACATCACCTGGAGGCACATAAGGCACATGAAAAGTCCATTTATTAGAAAAGAAATATCTTTTTCACTTGTAAACTGAGCAAGTTTAGTTTGGGCATAATTGACAAACCATAATTATAGAATCCCACAGTGCCAGTTTTTCACAGTCACTGTTCACAGTAAGCCTCACTCCAAAAACCAGTACAAAAATCCAAAAAGATTCTTTTTTCCCAAACTGTGAACATATGAACTTCGTCTGTAGCAGGAGTTCCCTGCCAGTTTATCGAATCCTTGGAAAAAAACTGAGATTGGATTATAGCTAATACTATCACTATGAACTGTAACTCTGGAGAAAACTCTGGTATTTTTTATAATTGTTTAGATCAATAGTTTCAGAATGCTTTTAGGAAGTCAAGAGAATGGCTGCTCAAAGGAAGCCTGTGGTGCTTGTACAGTGTGGGCTGCAGTCCTAGAGGCCTGTATTATTAATTATTATAATTATTAATTATTGCCAGTAATCAAGTGAGGTGGTTACTTTTTGGGGTCTATTATTGTGATGAAATCTAAATTAAAAAATAAATGCTGTGATGAATTTCAATGCACCAAACAGACAACTCCACCAACTGCTTGCATTTATAATTTTACAGGATTTTCTTTTGAAAGTGTTACCTGCTCCTCAGCCAGTGAAATAGGGGTGCAGTGGTGGGAGTCTGCATCTGCTCACACTCACCTCGGGCTGGGAGCACTGGCAGGAAACCTTGCAGGGCTCAGCAAGGCTGACGAGCTCCCACCTTACTTAGCAGACACTTTGCTTTAGAAAAATGTTATTATATGCAATCTCAGCACCTGTTTCTTCCTCGAGAAGCAGTATATTTTCTACAAATCTCCTTAAAGTATGAGTCTTCATGGCATTTGGATTTTTATTGAGGGATATTTTAATTGCTTTTCTTTTTTTATTTTGCAAGTGTATTCAAATTTCTTCTTGCAAAATACGCAGATGGTCTCTTTTGTAATTGCAGTTATGATGTCCACAATTTTACAGAAATGACTGCAGGTTTTTTTACTGCTTAAAAAAAACCAAACCAAAAACCCAAACAACCAGTCTGTACTTCCAGTGATTTATACTTCTAATTTTGAAATGCAGCTTCTCATAGTCAGAACTGCTGCTTTCGTTTTAAGCTGCTGCTACAAAAAAAGAGTCCCAGAAGTTATTTCACAGAAACTATAAAGTCATTCAAGGCAGTGAAAGATCCTGCTTTTTTAACCTTTCAGAAAGTCACCCAGTTGAGCAGTCAGGCTGTATTATTCTATATCTTGTCTAACATGAGGAAACAGTCCCAAAAGAAAGATATCCCAAATTAACGCCACACTTCGTTAAATAGAGACATTCTTGGTTTTCACCAAGCTAATTCGATCCAGTTCAGTTAACTCATTTTTTTTGTCCTGGGATCACGGAAGGCAGCCATGAATGGAGCGAGTTCATCATGTGTTTGACACATCAGTGTGAGGCTGAAAGGAGGCCGGGAGGGAGGGACCCTGCCTGGACAATACCCCATGGAAAAGGCCCCTCATTCAAAAGTGGTCTCCAGCAAACGGGGCAGGGGATCACTGTTACAAACAGGTAGAATGGGAATTAGCCAGGCTTGATTCCTCAGACACCTCCGAGTTTCTGGTTGTGACTGTTCCTCTAATCCGGTCGCTGTCAAATACCCTCAGATGGTTTATGGGACTTCTGTGTGAGCAAGAGTTTTCCTGCTTTGGAAATTAAAAATCAGACTAAAAAAAAACCCAAAAAACCAAAAATAAATTTAAAAATAATAATAAAAAAAATATTTGCAGAAAAATAATATCATTTATATTTTACGTATTTTTAGTTCATAAGTTTTTGCCCTTCTCCTTTTATACCATGAAATACATGGCTTATAAATTCAGATAAGAGAGTGGTGAACAGTCACAAAGTGCATGTTCCCTAATATAAAAAAAACAAACTTGAAAATTAAAAAAAATAGTAATATATGTTTTTGTTACTCTCAGTCACACATCACCCTCAAAGCCAGTCCACGCAGTCTAACAAAACAGATTCTGTGATGTGAAAGAATGTGTCTGCTGTGCTGCTACTAAGTAAATAATATTTGTGAGCCATATCCAGATTCTGAACACATTTTTGGAGAATGTTTTCTCTCCAAACTTGCTGTAGCAAGTACATAAGAACATAGCAGCACTGATTTTTGAAGATACTTGCTAATAATAACACCAGTCTGAGTGGACATTTAGACAGTGGCTGTTTTTATCAGTATCAACATTATGAGAGAGCTTTGTTTTCTAGGTATGCACAATAATCACTAGGTTTATAAAATAATAGATTATTTACTCCATTTTAAGTACAAAATAAATGTAGCTGACAGAAGATGGCTTCTTAGCCCTAAGCTGGTGATCTCAGTGGAATTTCTTCAGGAACTTTGTCTTTTAGGAGCTGCCATGAAAGCTGGAAACACGTGTGAGTCTGTAGGGTTTGGTTGTTGGTTTTTATCAATCTCATCCTAGGGACCTGTTTCTAGGATATTTCATTTAAAGTAGCACTCTGTGCTTAGAAGCCCAAGCTAAGTCTAGAGATAGATAAGGAAGCCAAATCCATAATAGCCTTTCTTGAATTTCTTAATTAGTTATTCAAATTTTATGACAAAAAGAATATGAAAAATACAAAGAATTGTGAACAAGAAATATATTAAAATTTCCTTTAATTTCTAATATTTTCTTTTCCTAAGTTTAACAAATCAAGAAGATAAACCACATTCAATACTTTGTAGCTGTGTGTCTAATTCTAGCAGATATTTTGGTCAAAGAAGTGTGCACTGCTAATATTTGTTTGGTATGGTTTTTTCCCTGCAGTTTTAATGTGAATCCTTCTGGCATTGAGGATCTCAGGAAAAAAACGGTGAGTTATGAAATTTTATGCAAAGTCATCAGTAAATGCCAACTAATTGGTACTTGTATAAGCTTATAAGCTTTTATTATTTTTAACCTCTTATAGGGAAATGTTGGGGTTTTTCTTTTTTTTTTTTTTTTCTTGTCATCTTAATAGAAAAGCACAGGCTTAATGTAAATTTGGAAATAAAGAAGAATTTTGCACTCAGAATGGAGTTAGCTGTGATATGATGAAGAAGGAAATATTTAGTTCTTTGCACAAAAAGTAAAAAACCCCTAAAACCTGAATTTTTGGGAGTGGTTTAGATGTCTCTAGAGAAGTAATGGTCAGGTGAGGAATTCTGCATTAGGCAGTGATTTATTAATTGACCAGACAGGAGTTTACCATCACTATAATCAGAGACTTGAGGTCAGTCTTCAGAAGACAGATCAAAATTGAAATTATGACCTGATATGTGGTTGGATTAATAATACTCATAAGAAATGAACAGATGAAAACACTAAAAAGTAGAAATACTAGAAGGTATTATTCAAAATGCTCCTGTTTCTGAAAGTACTGAGAATAAATTGTGGACTAAGAAAAGACAAAAAATAATCCACAGATTGCTTGGGCAGTGTCTTTGTTTGAAGGAAAATGTGGTCTTACTAGAATTTTTTCTGTGAATAGATGACATCTTTAAAAGTGGGTTTGTTTTCAATCTCTAAAATATATAGAAAACAAGTTTCACAAGCAAATATGACTTTGTACTGTTTGTTTTCTGCTGGTTTATGTAAATGATTTGTAATAACATTTGATGTTATTGTAAATGCCCAAGTTTTTATAATGTAAGTAGCTGGTGGGAGATGTCAGAGTATTTGAAGGCTGCCTTTGATCAGATAGTAAACTGAATTCTACCAGGCAGTTACTTAATCTCTGACAAAAAGAGACATCAAAAAATTGATTTAACTTAGCAGCCATTGTCTGTAAAGTAACCATAATTACAGTTTCTATGTGCTTGTAAATGTACTACTGCAAATCATGTAATTTATTGCTGGTAAAAGCATCGGTTTAATTCTTTTAAGAAATAAGATGTGAATTGTTTTATATAAAGGATTTAAAGGTGATAAAAGAAATCCTTGATGATTTTACTTTTGGAATACCAGCCATCCTAAATGTCAGTTGTAGGATTATGAGGTGGCGCTCATTTAATGCAAAATACAAATTAGGTGGGGAAGAATCTCTATCTCAACCATAGTTTTGAATGAAACCATTTGAATTTCTTTTTAAATATTCAGGATTGCTTTCTAAGGTGTTTGAAGTAATTTATTATTAGATTCTGTAATAATAGCCCTCACCAAGTTATTATATTTCTTCCTTGTGCATGTTATTTAGTAATTATGTTTGTATGTCTTCTCCTCTGATGCCAACACCTGTCTCTGAAAGCAGTGTTTAAATGGGAGCAGTAGCCAGTTGAAAGGGCAGCGTGAGCTCTTTAAAGCCTAATTAAGAACTGAAAGGAAGATGAAGTAAGTAGGACAAAAGATGTGAAAGTAGCTTAGATGATATTCCCAGAGCAGAATTCCTCATTAGAACAATGAAGAGATGATCAGGGATTGCCAGGCCTTCACTTTATCTGAGGTCTCCTCTGGCTGGCTGTGTGTACCCCAACAGGGTTTTGTAGCTGAGACAGTCATTCTTTGCATGGCTTGTTTAGAATATTTTTTTTCCCTTAAAAATTCATTTTGAGAGTATTCTTACGCATTAAAACTGTGGTACCTATTTTTGTAAATAGATAAGTGTTCCTTATACATTTAAATATCACCTACTGTCTCAATCTGAACATACCCAATCTTCTTAATTTTAACAATATTGATTTCTAAATACTAACATATTTCAGCTAGAATTTTCTTGCATAATTAATGTGATAGCTTATCCCCACCCAAGATGTGTACAGAGCATGTGTATGATAAAGCATCTTTAAAGCATATATATTACACACAATTTTTCAGTAAACTTGATTGCATAATTAAAAACATTATTGCACCTTAATTCCTGTTCCTTTTCCAAATCAGAAAATAAGACAAACACTAGCTTTCAGGCATATAAGTGCTAATGATATTTTCTCCAGTGTGTACAAAAATTTAGTAAAAAGAATAAACTTTAATAAAGAAAAGTTTTACTTCTCATAGAATAAAATGTGCTAAAAATATGACCATCAAGTGAAGTTATTTTCTCTTCTATACTGATTGCAAATCGATTACTAACCAATTTAAAGATTCCATCAGGTTAGCCATTTTAATGAAGTGGGAGTTACTGATTACTTACCATCCCTTTACTTGGTACGTTTAAAATACTGAATATACGTCCAGAAATGTGACATCAGATGTCTCAAGTGCAGAGAGAAACCCTTAAAAGCAGATATTTTTGAGAGCTACTGTTAGAGTATAATTGATGGAGAGAGGCTGATGTGTCACACTTCAGCCTATTTGCAGGGCACCATCACTTTTAATTAGGCCTCTCTGAAAACTTAGGCCAGCTGCATATTTTAATGGGTCGACATGTGCCAATGTGCAAATATGGAGCTGGATGGAAAGAAAAGAATGGGACATGGAAAAAGACAGAGTTTGGCTACTATGAGGTGTGTCTCTTAGCTGTGCAAGCTTTATCATTTTTAATTACAAACTTCTACTGTGAACAAAAGCTATCTCTTGTGCCCTGTTAGAGATGCAGGATCTTTTGGGTTCCATATTTTCTAAATATTTTCATTTCTGAATGAGATGAAGTGTGCTGCTTAACATGTCTGGCAGTGCTGATACTGTTATAAAACAACATGAAAGAAGACATTCAAGTTTACAGTCTTTTGGATCACACACTGTCCTTTTCAAGATGACTAATTTGTCCATCTCTGCTCATACCTGCACTTACTGAGTCATCAGAAATCAAGACAGAAACAACTCTGTTTTCCCTACTCCTTAATTCTGGGCCACTCCTGCTTTAAAGAAAGCAAGGTCTTTTATAAGTACACATTTATTTCTGCCTTAAGTGCTCTGGTGAGAGTAAGATGCAACCTTTTACTTTCACCTGCGATTTAAAATTGAAAGTTTTATTATGTGATTCAGAAGCCAAGGCCTGGAGAACCACTGGTGACTAAAAATATGAATATGAAAGACAGATGAGGGCTGATGTCATTCAGAGCTGGGTAAATGCTTTGCTGTGATGCTCTCCAGAGGCAAAAACTCAGACAAGTTAAAGTAGGAGTTTAATTCTCAGGGCTCTTCTCTTTTTATTATATAATTAAGGTGGTTGGTTTCCCAAAATAGACCTGCCAGATGTTGCTGTGGTCCCTGCTCATATGGTCACTCTGACACACTGACTGTGTGCCCACCTCATGGGAAAGATTTTTTTCTGAGATGACAGAGTGGGAAATGTTCATCCAGCTGGGCAGCCCATCTCCAGTCGTCTGCTTCAGTGGGGGTGTTGGAGGGAAAAGCACTGCAGCAGACAGAGATGTTGCTGAAAAAAATTGTTTTTCATGTCAAGAGATGCACATAAAAAGCAATAACAAATCCATTTTCTGGGAACACTGAACTGCTTAATAAAATCTGGTGTTTTTCTACACTTACCTGCAGGAAGGAAATCCTTTTGACGCCACTGCAGGATACCGAAACCTGACTTATGAGGAGGTTCTGCAGGAGCTGGTGAAACACAAAGAGCAGCTCAAGAAGAAGGACACCCACATTCGTGAGCTCGAGGATTACATTGACAATCTCCTGGTCCGAGTGATGGAGGAAACCCCCAGTATTCTCAGAGTGCCATATGAACCTTCTCGGAAAGCTGGCAAATTCTCCAAAAGCTGAGACAGCGGTACTCGAGGGTACTTTCACTTCCTGCTGAATACATTAGTGGAAGGAGATCACACTTTAATATTTTGACTTCTCTTCATTCCTTTTATCCTAAGAAATTCCATGAAAATGGGGAGGAGAGACAATGGCTTGGTTTCTGGTTTCTTCCCTTTTTTTTTTTTTTTTTAATCCAAACACTAGCAGGGGCTGCCAAAAGTTGTTTTCTGTTAGATTACCTAGGTAACTTTTTTTTTTTTTCTTTTTTGAAAACACATTTAGGTACAGAATACTTAAAATGGAGTCAATAATACATAATAAATATGTCCATGCAGTTTATATAATAGCTTAGTGTTCACCATGTGGCAGTTTCATCTGGGAAGCCTGTGCTGTTATGAATGTTTTCTTGAATGATTATTGGTATTAGTCAAATATATTGATTCTTTTTTTTACAGCATGCCATCCAGACCACTGTTTTCAATCCAGCATAGTACTCTACTAAACCTAAGTGTGGTTTGTTGCAATGGAATGTAGTTCTGCACATATTAGAGGAAAACAGTGATGCACAATCCTTGCAGAGTAAATGCTGTATTCTACACAATTTGCTTTTTGTATAATAATATTAAAAAAAAAAGTGCCATTTCTGTCATGGCACATGCTGGAGCCAGTTATTTTACACTTAAATGCTGAATTTTGTGTATAATGAGTGAACTTTGGTAGTGAGCTCATGACAGGTTGTTTTAAGGATCTTTTTATATGAAGTTACTGCATGCCTCTTTATGTGTTAAAAGTTCACAGAGTCAGAGGTACAACCAGAGGACTCAAGTATGGAATAAAGAAATTAATATTTTTGTTCAGTCAAATTCTCCTGCAATGAATATGTAGCAGAAGTGAAGAGGCTGACTTAAATAGACACGATAAATCAGTTTAAGGCTGAATTGTACATGATACATGTGTCTTAACTTTTTAAATCTCAAGACAACAAAGTATATGCCTTTAGGAATAGGCCATGTTGCTTAACACATATAGAATACTTAGGCTTTTCATTCTAAATGTCTGTATTCCATGTATATAGTTCTAAAAGTCAGTTTTCATTGAGAAGAATGTAGTAAATATCTCCCTGAACATTTAATAATTGTTTGTAAAATGATGTATGAAAAAGGTATCTTTTATTCAATGAATTGGAAAAAATATAATGAAGGTATAATGAGAAAATACTGTAGGAGAACCCTCCAAATATTAAGATGAATAGATTTGAATTTTAATTTCCTTAATAAGAGTCTTAATTGGATTTTCTGTTGCTGTGAAACAGTAAAATGCTATTTAAAACATATACAGAGAATATTTTAGATTTGTATTTAAGATAACTGTCTTCTCTGTTTCTGCACCTGATCTGTTGGGTTTTTTTACAGCACCATGACATGGCTGCTGCTGAGGTGACCAGAAAAGCTTCAAATTAAATTCCAATTTTTTTCTTGTTGTAAAAGATTTTAATATATTTTCATCTTTAAAACTGCAGAAATTGGTAATATCTTGAATACTTCTATGTGGAAGGGCTGAGAAAGTTTTCTCTGACTGCTTTTGACATCATTAGTATTGTAGGACAGCACAGAATTATTCTAGTTACAAAAAAATCTTCTTAGAACAAATATTCTCAGATTTCATTTACTTCTTTTTAACTTTTTCTCCTTTATTTTCTTCTTTTATTTAGCAACTACCTCCCATCCCCATTTAGCACTGTCCCTAAAATGTGTGCAGCCAGACTTCCCAACCCATCAGTGGGATCTCTGAGTGTGGATCCCTGTGCCTGGATGGATCCTGAGATCCCAGCCCTGTCCAGCTGTAGAGCTCTGCATCTGTATTTGGTAATGCAGAAATCCATCCCATACCAGGCAGTCTCTCTTTTGTCAGCCTAAGGATGTATCAAGTTTGGTACCTCAGAAACCACGTGAATGTTCTTTTGACCCACTTAAGATCTTGATGACTGTAAATTTGTTGTAATATATTCAAAGTGCCAAAGTTTATGTACTAGGTTTATGGTACATTTACTGTTGGAAGTTGGGGTTTACACTCAATTGGATTTTCATTTTCTAGTTACACCAAGATGTATTTCAGTTACTCAGTATTTCCATAAAAGTTCTTAAACATTTTGAAATGCTTGGCTGAAGCCAGCAGTTTTCTCATGTCGTTGATGAGGAAATGTTCTGCAATTGTTTTGAATTCCACACTCATTTTCAGCTAACTGGTATGAGACCATCTCGAGTATCCACAGTGCTTAAATCATCCACACCACTGAGGATTAACAACTGCACTAACCAGAGAATGTGCTCCAATGACTTCTCACATGCAAGCCAACTTATAATTATTAAAATGAAACTCTACTATATTTAGCACCTCTGAAATCACTTCTTTTAGAATGTAAATGTAGAATATCAAACTGCATAATTGACTAAAAGCAGATCATTTGACATATTTGCATACCGAGAACGATAAGCAGATTAAAGGTAGCGAAAAGATCAATTTTTGTGCATTAGTGAAGAAATTTAGTGAGGCTTTGAATGTGCTATCTAGTCTTTATCTGATCTCTAAGTGAATAAAAGCACCTTTTGTTTCTAACAGTTTGTCAAGAAAGAGGGGAGAACAACAAATGCAATTTAGGAAAACGTAAAGTTACTGAGAGGCAGAATGGGATGTTAACAGCTATAATGATATTTTTATAGTTCATAGGTAAAGATACAGGCTGCTTTTGGAGCATACAGAGTAGTTCATGTTGAAAAAAAAGAAAGTTTTGTTTTTCCCATAGGATAAAATTGTGGACTTTCTTTCAGATCATTTGAAACATGAAAACTTGTGGTCACTCTTTCTTGCCCTTTAAAATACAAGGAAGAAAATTTTGAACATCTCCATATTATTTTGATATTTTCTCTCACAGATTAGCGTAAGTGTTCATCTATGCATGCACTATACTTTGAAATTATCCCTTGAAACAGCTCTTCTCATAGCCATGTATTTTGCTTACTTAAAAGGACAAATATGAAGGCCATACTTTAATGTTATAAGTCAGAAATGTAAGCTTTCTGCCATTCAAGAAGGATGTTTAATATTTATATATGTTACCTCTTGCTGCTGTATTTTATGTTTAGCTTGGTTTTCCACCTCCTAATGAATGTAGCATTCTCCTTAGATTATAACTGCATTTATTGCTGTTGGCTTTGTGTCAGGAACTATTTGTAATTTTCCAGCTGTGGAAATGTTGCCTTGTATTTAGAAAGGTTTCATGATTTGGGGACCTGATGAAAATCATGCTCATTAGATCCTAGCCTGCATTTCTTTCTGTACAGGATACCCTTTCTTAGATGCATCTTAAAACAAACAGAACTGCTGTCTTAATGTGTTTACTGCTGCACTGGGGGTTTATTTACACTTCCAGCTTTAAAGAAAGATTATTGTCCTACATCAAGTATGTAAAGTGAGCTCATGCTTTTCTGCTCTTTATGTACCACTGCTGTTGTAGATATGATAGAGGCATTAGCTGGGCTTTTACAATGGTGGCTTCAGAGCATGTTGACTCTCTTCCCCTTCTTTGAAGTACTTGCTGAAGGATTATAGCACTGCTGTGTTCATGATGCTAGATTTAAGGGTCTGTCAGCACTTCCGGTAGGAAACCCTATTTTCAGGGATTTAGAATTTAAAATTTCGATACAGTCACTGGAAGTATTTAATATGCAATAGGTAGCACTTTAATCTGTTTATGAAGGGGTTTGAGATTTGTTTCTGTTGAAAAGGTCACAGTCTCCTAAAGCATGGTGGGCATTTGCTTTGTCTTTTATAATTTCTATGCTGAAGAAGCCACTGTATGTTACAAGTGGTTGAGCCATTCCTATTCATCTTAGAAGCTTCCAGATGTCTTGTATTACAATGTATTATAAAAAGCTGAAGATCCAGGTTATATACAAAGTCTGTAAAAGATAGGAACATTACTTATAACTTAAGGGTTTTATTTTGTCTTGTGCAATCAGTGGTAGTTTGCCCACATTTAATAATGGTACAGAATCATAACTATATGCACTTGTGAGAACTATAAACCTAGAATGCATGAAAAACTTTATTTTTGTTCCATTATTGCAACTTCAGATCATTTAATTTTATTAAAATGTTATCTTAATATTTTAATTTCTGTTCATTAAATAAGTATTGCATGTCTAACACTAATAAAGCACCACAATGCACTACTGCAGTATTTATTGAATTGTGCCATTAATCTGTGTTATGTAAAGCATGTGACTCCTAAACTCCACAGTGTTAAGGCTCTCAGAGCACAGAGAGGGGTATTTCCCTAGGGACAGCTCTAAATGAATATCCCAGATGTTTACAGGGTAGCCATTAAAGGAAATCTCCTCAGTACTGTCCAAAACTTGGAATTAGTGAAAAAAACGGAGTATTCTTAAATGTCCTAATTTGTATGTCTTTTTTAGTATGGTATCTGCAAGCCCTTTAAATGCACTATTCTTCTGATGCCATGGCTGTATAAATATTACCAGGAGATCTTTGGCACTGCAGGCCAGAACAGCATTTAGTATGAGAACAAACACTCTGCAAATTCTGATATGGGAAACATGACGCATATTTCTCCTAATACTTGACTGAATAAAAACCCAGCCAGAATGACAGAAAACTGGAGCATCCTCCCCCATCACCCAGAAGTATTTTTATAATGCTCCCACAAGTTTTTCTCCTCTTCTGTGAAGCAGCAAAACAGCAAAGTCTGTCCCCTGACAAGAGCAGCTTTTCTGGATGGTGAGGTGTGGAGAAGAGTCCTGCTTTGGGAGAAGAGCTTTGTGCATCTTCCACCCAGTTTCTTGTAGCTTTGAATTCCACAGGGATGTGATTCCTTCCCTCATAGTTAATTTGCTCTGTGAGCAGGTCCTTTGTCAATACATCTATGGACTCAGAAATCTTAGAAAGGGTTCCTCTCTTTGAGGTGTCCATGAAACGTGGTGGTTATGGGAAATCACAGCCACTTTGTGAGCTGCCTGTGGACTTCCACACGTGTTGTTACACAGATTCCATCAGCTGTGTCTCCCCATGGCAAAATCACAGATTCTGCAGCTCTTCTGGTGTGTGAGAGCTCAGGAATGAGGACAAGAGGAGAAGGCATTTTTCAGAAAGCAACACACTGCCTGTTATATACCAGTTTCCATCTGTAATTCACATCTGGTAACTAATCTCAGCTTCTGTGCCCATTTGAAAAGGGAGCCACACCATTTCCCCCCTCAGAGGCATAATCTTGGTTAGCTGATACCAGCCACAGTCCTATTCATTATATGAGAGCCCAACTCAATTAAACAGCTTCCAGTTTCCCCAGCACAAAGTTGACTTTGGAGTTTGCATTATTAACCATCTCAACCCCCTAATAAAGGTTTTCAAGGATATTTTAAATATAGTTTAGCAGTTAAAGAACTATTGAAATTAGATGTAAAGTAAAAGTATCATTAAGGACAATTCTCTCTGCAATTGCACTTATTGAATTTATTTTTTTATGGAACCATAGAGAGTAAAATTCAGGATTTCATTTCCCTGTTTTAATTTGTTTTTATGGAAGGGTTGTGCAAGTTCTGTCTGCAGCTCACTTGGGATATGTTGCCCTTTTGTGTAACAACAGCATGTTTGTAAAGTTATAAATAATGATAAAAAAAATCCATCTCTTTTTCTGGATTAATGAATTAAAAGTTGGATTATTTTGTAATAGTCCATTTTATAAGAGATAGGAATAAGACTATTTGCTAAAGGAAGCTGTTTGCTCTTTTCTGTACTGCTTATTGAGTAATTATAAGAGAAGGCTACCACACTGAGTGCAGCCCAACCTGGAAACTGTGTGGCATTCATTGTGTAATGTTTATATAAATATCAGTATATTCAGAGCTGGAAGCCAGTGGCTATTACATGGGGATTATTGCAATGTATTTATAATGTGTTTTTACAGCATTTAGCAATGTAGATCGGTCTTTGATAAGTGGATGATGATTTAGGACAGAAAAGTACCCTCCATGGCTAAACACTGACGTGTTTATACTTTAAAAGTAAGCAGCTTAAAAAGGTTTTAGGGCCATGCAACGTTTAAATGAAGCTGAATACTAAAAAGGGGAGAAACTTGGTGGGATGTATTTTGTTTGTTTCAGCCCAAACTGGGTGACATGCAGGGAATGATTACACAGCATCCCTTACTAACAAGATTATTGGCAGGGTGAAAACCCCAAAAAAGTGGGAGTTTAACAGAGGGATGAACTCTCAAAGTTTTAGGTGTGGAACAGGTGTTGGGCAGAATCAACGCTCTCACTTCTGCTTTTTCAGCCCTGCTGACACTTGGTATTGAATTCAGGGATTGAACAAACCACATTCCTAGGAAAGTAAGGAAGTGTCTGAGGAAATTTGGGGTATGCAGCATGTGGCTGGCCAGCTTTCCTCTGCTGTTACTTGAAGTGGGTGTCTGGCTCAGGATCTTGTGGAGTGGCCAAAATGTGTCATATCACCTCCTCTAAATCATTCATCTGGGGCCTTCCGAGGTGCTGAATGTCTCCTTCTCCGATAACTTGCTGCTCACATTATGAATTCCTTGAAAATTGACTCCCTGGGACATCTTTACAGAAGACATCAAGGGTCTCCATTTAAATTTAATGAATATTGTGTAATTTGCCAAGGACTTCCACAATGCATTAGGAAAATCTGCCTCTTTGAGACCAGAGCTTTGCCAAAATAATGGCAGCTTAATTGCATCCTTTAAAAGCAACTGCTGACTCTCCAGCTATGAGTATTTTCCATTTCCTAATAAAATGTTTTCCCATTAAAGCAGCTTATTTCATTAACTTATAATTCATAGCTTAAATATGCTTATATTTTGCTAATTGTAGATTACTTAGTTCTTATTTTTAAGGAACACTGAAGCACAAAATACAAAATGTCAGGGTTTTCTTTTTAAAAAAAAGTCTTGCCTTGTGCATAGCAATTGCATTTGGATAAGCATTTTAAATATGCTATTTTTAAGGAGTTTTTACATGCTATTTTAAACTAAATAATTAAACTTCTATAACAAGAAACAATTTGAAGTGTTCATGCAATTTATAGTTTAATTCCTTTATAGATATGTGCTCCAATATTTTATAGTTATGATTCAACAACTACCACAGTTACATATTTTAAATTATAAGGATATATTGTGAGACTTCAAATTATTATTTTTCAAAGTACACGAAGCCAAAGTATATCTGATAGACTCTTTTGTGTTTTGTAGAAGTTAAAAGTGAGCTCTGGGAGAAAGTAAGGCTTTCCTAAAAATTTGTACAAGCCTTTGTGTTGAACTGCAGTGCAGCTCAATTTGAGTATGTAGCTTCAGGCACTCCATCCAACAGGGTAACATCAAACTTGCTTTTTTTCTGAATAACTTGAGGAAAGAGTCTGTTTGCAGCAGGTGCTGGGTATTACTTTTAAGGACCAAGTTACAATATGTGGATGCTTTATGA